GATATATGATTAATTTGATGGAGATGCTCCTTTATTTTCTTATTCTGTTGCTTTTCGATGGACTTTTCATGTCATTGGTAAGTCTATATAAACAAAGCGCCATATTGATTTAGAGTTTTTTCATGAATTTATACTTTTTTTTATTTTTCCATCTTAGGTTTTGGATTGTCATCTATTAGAAGACAAAGTTACAAATAAAGGACTGAAAGCTTCATTTAGGCACTTATTTATTAGAGACTATTTGTCTTAAAACGTTATCTTTTTATTATCGTTAAATTTTCGTGTTGTTTAGGTGTATAAACTACATATGGAGGCAGTGCAGATTGTTTTTTGCTTGAAAAGAGTAATGTTTAAAAAAAATATTTGGAGGGAGGTACTGCACTTTTTTCCAGAGTTCTTTTTCCTTTTGTCAATTATCTTACTATTTTTTATAAAGAAATAACTTGACGCATAAAATGTATAGGCTTACGAGCAGCTAAAGGTTCTTCATGATGCTTGTAATTTTCTTTGTCGTCGGTTCTTTCTTCTCACTATTTGATAATTTTTTTGAGATGTGTATTGACAAGTCAAGTTGGAACAAAACTCGAACTGAAGTATATGGCTCGTCTTAATAAGGTCACAGTTTTCTATGTTTTTTTTAATGTTTTCTTTTCAGTGAGTTCATCTCAGAAATTTATAACCATGTTTTTTAATTCTTTCTATTTTTATATCAGCGCAAAACGTAAGTTGTCTAGTTGTATGATTGTTATATTAATTTGGTTCAAGGTCATTGTCTTTTGATCAAGCTTGCATTTACTCAATTTTCATGAAAAATGCTAACCACTTATAATGTTGCTTTCTTTGACTCATTGTTCACAAAGATGCTAACTTTATAAGACATCTTTAATTAATAGTTTAAAAGATAACCATACAATAATTGAAGTGCAAGCTTACTCTCACAATGCTTTAGTTTAATTACTTTTATCCAAATTTCTACAATTCTTAACAACTATGTCTCTAATTCATGTTAAGTAATCAATTCATCATCAATTGTTAAAGGGACCTACAGGAGTATTCTCGCTAGTCAGAATCATCGCAAGTCATCATCGTCGCATTCTACATCAATTGTTCAAGGGCGATTGTTTTTCATGAGGTGGCATCTTTGCTTGCTCAGCTGAAGATTTTAGTGAAGGAATATGAAGTGGAAGAAAAGGGAAAAAAGGAAAGAAAGATGAGTTTAGCATAAGGAGGACCTATTAAATCGTAGAGAAGATCCTGAGTAGAAAAATCAAACAAGCATGGGGACCACTAATTTTTAGTTAATTAACCAATGAGTTTAAATCTAACAATTAGTTTTAATCTAATGATGTAGAATGGTCATATCACGTTAAGCAAACTATCTCACCATATTGTTTCTCTCTATATACACACAGATATATAAAGATTAATGGGTATAGTGATGCGAAACAATGTGATGCAGGTATGAAGATTAATGACAACAATGCTTCGCCAAATCAGGATCGAATCTAGGCAGGAAGTCAAGAATAAAGTGTAGCTTTCGTATGGTTTTAAGCAAACTTGCAATGTACTAAGTTCAAATCTTTTGTAATGATCCAGAAATAATGGTAATGATTCGTTCTTCTCATACAGTTCAATTGTAATATTTAGATAAGTAAAAGTACTTAGCAACAGATTCGCTCGCTCCTTAATCAAGCTGTTTAATAATCACATAGACGATTAATAATATTCGGATAGGGCACATGCAAGCAATAGCTAGTTCGAAAATATTTGGGCGAAATAAAGTAACCTTCATGGGTTGAACTGGTTGCAGACGGGAGGCTCGCTCTGGTAGGGTGGTTCGTAACGGCAAATGGGGAGGAAGTTCTCCTCGAGAGGCGAGTAATTCGGATGGCAGGGTGTATCTGGATGGAAACGCAATCCACGAACTGATTCAGCTACTCTCTACGTTGTTAACGATCTGAAGAGTCACACGCTCACGTATCTAGGGCAGCTCTCGAATGACTGATATCAAGCCCCGGGGAAAGTTGTAAAGTCTACTATGGCGGTCTCTGTTTGCATCTACCAACGTCTTTCGCGTGGGATACATAACCATCATTGCAGATCAGGATAGAATGGTGCGAATCTGACTCGACTAATACCAGCAATTTCGAATTGGGTCAAGTGGGTCTGGTCCACACGTGACTCAACTCAACTAGGTCTGTTGAATAAATAGGGAACCTGAGCACGAGTCTGAATGTCCTCATCATTCTCCCCGGGTGGGAAAGAACTCGACCCTGTCGAGTGTAAATCAGAACGGCTGTCATACTGCTCAAGAAGATCTGGATCCAGCTTCTGTAAGTCATCCCTATCAAGCCAGGTGTCATCTGACTCAGGTCGTCCTTTCCAACGTACCAAATACTTGCGGATACCACCATTGCTAGTAGAAACAATGTTATCATCAATAATAGTATCAATGTAATGTGCTGTATATGTGGGTGATATCTGGGGAAGTGGAGGTAAAGGGGAGCTCTCAGAAATAGGCTCAGGGGTAGGCTCATCAACCAGTGGGTTGTCAGGGTTAAAATGTGGGCCTTTGTACTCTACTAAATCCTCAATATTAAAAGTCGAACCAATATTAAAACCTTCGGGAAGGTCGAGAACATAAGCATTATCATTAATTTTCTTGAGAATTTTAAAAGGTCCTGCACTTCGCGCATGTAACTTTTTAACAGCTCCCGGAGGAAACCGTTCCGGACGTATCCGAACCATCACATAATCACCAACATTAAATTATTTAAACTTCCTTCTTAGATCTGCTCGTATTTTATAGTTAGCATTGCTGTCATTGATCTTCTTACTGATCTTTAAACTTCCTTCTTAGATCTGCTCGTATTTTATAGTTAGCATTGCTGTCATTGATCTTCTTACTGATGTCTTTATGCAAGTCATGAATGCGAGATGCAAATGCAGATGCTGACTCAGATACTCTATGATGTGCAGACACGGGGACAAGATCTATAGGCCGTCTAGGTTTGTAACCATACACGACTTCAGCTGGACTGACACCTGTAGACCTATTAACAGTGTTATTATAAGCAAATTCAGCAGTAGGAAAATGTTGATCCCAACTCCTAAGATTCTCACCAACTAGCGATCTCAATAGGTTACCTAAGCTCCGATTGACTACCTCAGTTTGACCGTCAGTCTGGGGATGAAAGGCCGTAGAGAATTGAAGTTTAGTTCCCATTTTGTGCCAAAGGCTTTTCCAGAAATAACTTGTAAATTTAACATCCCTATCTGACACGATTGTTTTCGGAAGCCCGTGCAGTTTAACAACTTCGTTGAAGTATAGCTTGGCCACATGAGAAGTGTCAGAAGTTTTGAAATATGGTATGAAGTGGGCCATTTTAGAGAAACGGTCCACAACAACAAAGACAGAATCGTGTTTTCTAATCGTTTTCGAGAGTCCTAACACGAAATCCATACTACCATCCTGCTATGGACGACTTGGCACAGGGAGAGGAGTATACAAACCAGTGTTCTGTTTACGTTGTTTTGCCAATTGGCAGATGTGACATCTACTCACTAGTCTAACAACATCTCGTTTCATGATAGGCCAATAGAAGCGACTTTCCACTGCATTGACAGTCTTGTTATTTCCAAAATATCCTGCAAGGCCTCCAGCGTGTAATTCCCAAATTAAGAATTCTCTCAGGGAGGTGTCAGGAATACACAACTTGCTAAAATGGAAAAGATATCCATCATTCAGGAGAAAGCCATCAATTTCACGGATCACTCCATCATTTAGCAAAGTATAAACTTCGCTAAAATCAGGGCACGATTCATATTGGTCTTTGACTTTCTCAAAACCGATAACTTCTGCACTCAAAGTGGAGAGGAGGTGCATGCGACGACTGAGTGCGTCGGCGGCTTTATTTTCTGCGACGACTGAGTGCGTCGGCGGCTTTATTTTCTACTCCCGCTTTATGTTTGATCGTGTAGGTATAATCGTGGAGGAACTCAACCCATCGACCATGTCTAGCGTTCAACTTCTTTTGGGAGTGAATATATCGAAGAGCTTCGTGGTCAGAATATATGACAAATTCTTGTGGTAGCAAATAGTGACGCCAATGTCGAAGAGATTGTATCACCGCATAGAACTCTTTATCATAGGTGGAATAACGTTGCCTAGTATCATTCAGCTTCTCACTAAAGTAAGCAACGAGATGTCCTTCTTGAGATAGGACTCCACCTATACCAATACCAGAGGCATCGCACGTAATTTCGAAGACTTTAGAAAAATCGGACACGCGCATAACAGGAGCCTGCGACATCCTTTGCTTGATCTCTTCAAATGCCTTGGTAGCAGCTTTTAACCACTCGAACTCACCTTTCTTCAAGCAATCGGTAATAGGGGCCATGATGGTACTGAAGCCCTTAATAAACCGACGATAAAAAGTAGCGAGTCCGTGAAAACTTCGAACGTCTCTAATGCTCTTGGGTTCGGGCCATTCTTCGATAGCTCTGACTTTTTCAGGGTCAGCGGATACTCCTTCAGACGAGACCACGAATCCTAGAAAAATGACTTGTTGTGTAAGAAAAGTATATTTCTTAGGATTAGCATAAAGTTACTCTTTTCTTAACACGGCACAGACTTGACGCAGATGGTTCACATGCTGCTCACGAGAGTTACTATAAATAAGGATATCGTCGAAGTACACAACCAAAAAATTTTCCGTGAAGGGGCGAAGTACTTGAGTCATCACTCTCATAAAAGTGCTCGGAGCATTAGTCAACCCAAAGGGCATGACCATCCATTCGTACAATCCATCTTTTGTCTTAAAAGCGGTCTTCCATTCATCACCGGGACGGATGCGAATCTGATGGTAACCACTCTTTAGATCAATCTTAGAAAAGATAGTGGCTCCTGACATTAGATCAAGCATGTCATCCAACCGGGGAATGGGGAAACGGTATTTCACCGTGATCTTGTTAATCGCACGGCTATCCACACACATACGTCATGTTCCATCTTTCTTTGGCGTCAGTAATGCGGGAACCGCACAAGGGTTCATGCTTTCTTTCACAAAGCCCTTCTTCAATAGCTCATCAACTTGCCTCTTCAGCTCTGCATGCTCATTGGGGTTCATCCTATAGTGAGGCAAATTAGGAAGGGTTGATCCCGGGACTAAATCAATTGCGTGTTGGATATCACGCATCGGGGGTAATTGGTTCGGGAGGTCCTCAGGGAAGATGTCAGAAAATTCTTCCAACACAGTAGCGACTTCTGGGGGAACCACGTTAGAAATATCCTTCGGAGCTTCTCTAGCAGCGAGGGCGAAAATAGGAGCTCCGTTGGCCAGTTCACGATCAATCTCTTTGGCTCCAATCAGGTTAACGCCTTGGGAAGACTTGTTTGGATCGGGCTTCTTGTCATTTCCTTTAGGTTGAACCGGTAGGATCTTGACCTTCTTTCCGTCGTGCTCGAACAATAGCATATTGGATCGCCCGAAGATATGAACGTCGTTATCAAATAACCAGGGTCTTCCAAGAATAACCTGACCCACATCCATTTTTAGAACATCGCACCAAACTTTGTCCTTATAAATTGCAAATTGAAGAGGGACTAGACATCTCTCTTGGACATTGAGTGCGGTGTCGTTAAGGGTACAACCTTAAGACCAAGCTTAGCGATCACAGCTGAGGAAACCGCGTTAATGCAACTTCCACTGTCCACGATCACTTTACAATTTTTATCACCAATCTTTGTGAACGTATAAAAAATGAAAGTACGTCTCCAATCATCAACAGCCTTGGATTGAGAGATGACGCATCTGACAACTGATACGGTAGGAGTGTTAATTTGTCTAAGATAACCTAAGATAGTATCATCAGCATCATCCTCGAAATCATCGGTATCATCGTCAACTTGATGGACAAACTCGTCACTTTCAGATTCAGGTTCGTATTCGTATTGTCCATCGATAATCGCAACCTTGTGACGGGTCGGACAGTTCGCAGAAACATGCCCATACCCTTGGCATTTGTAGCACTTGACATGAGCGCCAATCTTGGAGAAATCTCTCTGGTTCCTTGCCTTTGGGATCGACTTTAGACTGGGAAGAACTGGGGTTAGATCGACTCGGAGGATGACTAGAGGTAGTGGTACGGGAAGGTTGAGAGGAATGATTTCTAAAATCCTGACTCCTATAAGATTGATGAGATTTTGATTCATCTAGATCCTGAACTAACGCGTAAGCTTTTTCAAGGGTGTCTACTCCCCGAGCAAAGAGTTCGGTTTGCAGATCATTTCTCAATCCAGCTCTAAACTTCGACAAGACTTTCATTGGCGCCTCTTGTTCAATAGTGTTGCATCGAGTGAACAGTTCGTCAAATTGTGCGACGTAGTCTTTCGCAGATTTGGTTCCTTGAGTGAGGCGATGCCACTTATCTAACAACCGATGATAAAATGATGTCGGAAGGTATTTCTGTTTAAGTTCGTTGGTCATTTCTCGCCAAGTTGTAATCGGTAACTCACCTCTAATGTGCCTCAACGTTTCGAGGTTGGTCCAATATTGGCAGGCAGGTCCGGTAAGTTTCATTGCGGCGAACTTGACCTTTCGGGGTTCCGTAAGGGCGTACAAATCAAAGTAACGATCCATGCTCTTCAGCCAGTCCAAGAAAGCTTGTGGGTCGAGCTTGCCGTCAAAGGTTGGGGCGTTGACCTTAATACTCCTCAAATATTGCGCATCCGGATCAGGTACCGGTTGATGTGGGGCCGCTGAACGAAGTTTCCATAGCCTTGACCTTGCAGCGGTGGGGCGATATGTTGATAACCTTGATCTTGCGGCGGCGGGGTTGCAACACGTGTTTCCTCGATCCTAGTGATCCTTTCATTGGTAGCTCTACTCTCTTGGGCTAAGTTACCTACCGCTCCTGCTAGCTCAGCGATTTGTTTAAGAATTTCGGCGAACTCGGGATTTGCACTGCCTGACATGCTGGACTCACTAATTGGCTCACTGGACTCTCCTAATCGATAGTGTAGACCCGTGCGAGTGGGCATGCGCTAATAACTAGTTGATATGAATGGGTGCACAAAATTAAATGAGATAATTTTTTTTTTAATAATAAAGACTCAACAAATTTCCTAACCTAGAACCAGGTGCTCTGATACCAAAAAATGATGCGAAACAATGTGATGCAGGTATGAAGATTAATGACAACAATGCTTCGCCAAATCAGCGATCGATCTAGGCAGGAAGCTCAAGAATAAAGTGTAGCTTTCGATGGGTTTTAAGCAAAAGTTGCAATGTACTAAGTTCAAATCTTTTGTAAATGATCCAGAAAATAAATGTAATGATTCGTTCTCTCAATACAGTTCAAATTGTAATATTTAGATAAGTAAAAGTACTTAGCAACAGATTCGCTCGCTCACTTAATCAAGCTGAATACAGCACAAATACGATCGATAATAATATTGATAGCAACATGCAAGCAATAGCAGTTCCGAAAATATTTGGGCGAAAGAAAGTTAAACCTTCGTTGGGTTAAACTGGTTCGACGGGAGGCTCCTCTGGTGGTGGTTCGTACACGCCAAAAATGAGGGGAGGAAGTTCTCCTCCGAGAGTGACGTAATTCGGATGGAGCGGTGTATCTGGATGGAAATGCCGATGCCACGAACTGATTCCCAAGCTACTCTCTACGTTGTCAACGATCTGATGAGTCACACGCTCAACGTACTCGGGCACGCTCTCGAATGACTGATAATCAAACCACGGGGAAAGTTGTAAATCTACTATGCCGGTTTCTGGATCTAGCACGAGCCCGTCTTCAGCGTCGGGATCAGCCATACACCATCAATTGCAGAATCAGGAATCAAATGGATCGAATCTGACTCGACTAATACCAGCAATTTCGAATTGGGTCAAGTGGATCTGGTCCACACGTGACTCAACTCAACTAGATCTGTTGAATAAATAGGGAACCTGATTTAAGTCACCCAAACCCAAACTTTCTTTCAATAGGATCTCAATCGAAGGAACGACGCGGGCCAGAGAGGGGGGGTGGCGGTGTCGACCTGGGCGGCGCTCGAGTCGGGGCAGTGGCGTCGAGTCCGGAACACGGCGCTCGGGTTGGAAGTGGGCGGCGGTCGAGGCGGATTGAATAAGGCGCTCGGGTCGGGATCCGGGCGCGAGCTGGTGATGCTGTTGGTCGGAGGGTGAGTTGAGGCTCGGCTGCTTTTGAAGAGGAAACGGCGCTGGTTTTGGGGCGTGGGTGCAGAGGAGGCTGACCGGAAATTGGTTTAGGGGAAAGCCGAGGCGGCCACGGGAGCAGAGGCGGAGGTTGGGTGGTGCTGTCGTTCGCGAAGGAAAGAGGGGACTCGGGATGAGTGTTATGCGGTGAGGAGTCAGAGGGGGCGGATGGTTTGTAGGGGAGATCAGGGAATGTTGATGGGTCTGTGATTTGAGAAGAAGGAGGGAGATGGACAGTGCGATTTTTTTATTTTCTTTTTGTTTTCTTTTGTGAAGAAGAGAGGTGACGGCTGATAACCAGAAATCAATAAGCTAGGGTTTCACACCATAATTTAGCAAATCAATTTCATTCATCAGTAATCTCATATTCTGATTACAGAGCCTTTAAGTAAGCAATTACAGATTAAGAAAATCTCATCAATCCCTCAAATCTCTCTCTTAATCAGTTACAATCAATCACAACCAATCACTGATTAACTACCAAAGAAACTAAATATTCGAAATTCGAAATTCAAATTCAAATTAATTATTACATCTAAATTCAAAACCATAATGCTGAAATATTGCGCTTCCTGCGCTGATAGACCCGGCGAAAATCTCGAGCACGAGTCTGAATGTCCTCATCATATAGGCTGACAACTTACTCAAGAAAATGAGCTATTGGTGATGTGGCACATGGCTGGCAGCATGGTCTAAATTATGACGAGGAACTTTTAGAAAAAACCCTCTAATCACGTTTGGAGAAATCCAAAACCCAATACTGTAAGTAATCACAGAGTTATTTTTAATATTTTCTCCCTCTTCTACTAATCATTTATCTTTTCTCCCTTTACAACATTCTTTCATTCTCTCTACCGTCTTTAGCCATCTTGAGAAAAATTTTCTGAAACCCCTTGCTCCTACCGTAATGGTAGCACGCTAACAACCTTGTCCTCCTGCACTACTAAAAATTTGCATCGAGTTTTCTATATATATGTAGTGTGAATCTCGTGTGATCCTTTTTCAGTTTCATTTGATGTCCTTTTACTTTGATTATTTATCTTTCCAATCAATAAAAAAGTGGGGATTTTTTTGCAGGAATTCAATAGAAGATCCAAATAGAATTAGTTCTGGGTTTTGCATTTATAATATCATCTTCATTTGGTACAAATTTTTGGAGACACATTTCGGATAAATTTTATGTTTGTTTGGACCTCAATGCATTAGTTTCTTGGGGTTCATTGTTCATGGATTATTTTTACTTGAATGCATACATCTACTTGCAATCCTATGCATCCACTTTCTAATCATATTGCATTTATTCATTCACTAAATAAAGAATAATAATTTATTTACTGTTGTTCTTGAAGGTTACTTAGTTTATATAGACCTAATTGATTTGTAATAATTTATTATTATTCTTGAACGTTACTAGATATTATATTGTTCACTTGTTATTTTATTCTCCTTTTGCTTGCAGGATTAGTAATTCAAGAAATTTCACCACCCCTTTTCCTTTTCTACTTACATCAATATCTTAGGAAATGCTAGCATATCTTTTATACCATGGAATTTTAGAATAAAAATCTTTTATTTCTTCTGGGTATCATTTTATAATGAAGAATGGAATGCTAATGAGTTTGTCAAATCTCCTTGTTTTTTCTTTGCTTTTACAACACTATATGCTGGAGTTACTGTATCGAACAAATTGTGTTCAAAGTAGTTAACTAGTATGAATGAACTCTAAAAAATGAACAGATTATGGAGAAAAGTTTGGACGTTGGCAAAACTTGAACGCTGATGAAGAATATTGATGTGTTGATTACGGATATTCATGAAGAAGACAGAAAGGAGAGAATGAAAATAATGTTTTCTCAAGGGTGACAAAGTTGGGAGAGAATATTGAAGGTTGAGGTAGATAGGACAAATGAAAAGAGGAGAGAGAAAAAGTTAAATAAAGGCATGCTAGCTAGTACTTAGCCTATTGGTTTTAGGCTTTTTCCACACAGGGGTTTTCTGTAAAGACTCTCATCAAAATATACATAATGCTGCCAGCTGTGTCCACGTCATCGTTAACTCATTTTTTTGGGTAAGCTGTCAGTTGATATCCTATATATATATATATATGTGTGTGTGTGTGTGTGTGTAAATATCAGGAAAGAATGATGGTTACAATGTGGCAACTCAATTAGCAAAATGAGCTACCAAGAGATACAGTGGTAAGGTCCTGTAGGCGTAAATTTTGATTTCCCGAAACTGGGATTTCGTTTGTATTTATAAGAATAACTTATTACAAACTAATGAATCGAAAATTACAACAGAAGCGCAGGGAATGTCTTCCT